AGGCAGGTCATGAGCCATTGCCTTTCCTGAGGGTTTTACCATATAAATATAAAATAATAGCATGCAAAATTGCAGTAGACAGTTTTATAGAACTAGTAGTGATGGTTATATTTAATAATTAATAGGTGTTCTTAAGACACAAGCTCTTGTTAATCCTTTTAAAGCCGACTTTAGCAGCATTAGCAGTGCCTTTACTAACGTTTGCCTTCAACAGTGCTGCTTCCTCTGGTCAGTGGTTTGGTCTCTAGCGCTTATGAGTCAGCAGCAGTAACAAATGAATAATTTATAGTATGAAAATGCAACTTTAGGGATGAGTTTCCTGGGTGAGTTCAGAGTTCCTGTAGTTTTGATGATGGTTTGCTAACCGCTGCCAGGGGAAACTGAATTTTGTTTTATAATGGGAAACAGCTACGTTGTCCTTTCAGATCAGACCAAGGCAGGTCCTCCTCCCTGACCCCCTGCAGGGGACACTGGTGTAGAGCCCCTGGCTCAGGACCCCATGACTGACCTGGCACATACCCACTGCTCAGGTTAAACGCTGGAGCTGTGCGTGGCGTCAAAAGCTTCTAAAGAAAGGATAAAAACTAGAATTGATGAACTGTATAATAACACAATTTATGTCCTCTAAACACCCATCAATCAGAGCCAAAGAGAGTCGCTGCTGGTAGATGCTGGGGTTGTGTGTGGTGTCAAAAGCTTCTAAAGAAAGGATAAAAACTAGAATTGATGAACTGTATAATAACACAATTTATGTCCTCTAAACACCCATCAATCAGAGCCAAAGAGAGTCGCTGCTGGTACGGATCCCAGGCGGTCATTACAGGGAGCCTTCAGCCTCTGACTGTCTTGCAGCCCTTTCCCATTTCTCATCCCATTCCCAGGAAGTTAAATGGGCTTCCTAGCCCAGTTTCAGGAACACCACAGTGGGAGAGCAGTGAACACCCTGGCACAACCCTCCCACAAGTGCTAGAAAAAAGTCGAGTACAACATTGGGGCATCATCCAGGCAGCAACTACATGGAACACAGCTTTTTCCACAACAGGGCTGGCTCCAGTCCAGAGCCACACTCTCAGCTCTGTGCTCAGGGCAGGGCTCGGGCTGTGGAGTTGAAAAAAAAAGCCCCCCAAAACGAAGTCAAAACCTCTTGGTTTAACTAACGAGGCGAACATCCATTCTAAGACTTTCAATCATAACCTCCTTGGGGAAAAATCCCCGGTGTTATATTTCAGAGAGGAACGATTAGTCAACACTGGGGCGTCTTACTCCAGCAATTATCAGAATGGTAATTACCCTGCACACCACTGCAGTCAGAGAACCATCATTGTTAACGTCTCCTGAAATGCCTGTTCTGAAGGAGCCCAGGACTTTCCCAGGCTGTTGCTCCAGGGATCTCTGTGGTGACTCACCATAATCTAGAGATCATTTTGACACACTGGCAGCAAACTGGTCAACAAAGACAAAAAACATGAGCAGATTAAGGGCAGAAACACAAATATTCTTTATGGCAAGGAGTGATGAGTAACTCCAGAGAACAGAGCTCCATCCCGACCTTTTATGACAAAGGGCAGCCATGAACTTTGTCACCAACCTGGCTTCTCCACGTTAATTACACCATGCCTTTTTCTCTGTCTGCAAACAGGTTTTGGTGATGTGCTGTGGTTGCACAGGATTGTGGATGGTGCTCAGCTCCAGATGTGCATGTTTGAAAGAATATTTTCAAGTTAAATCTCTCTAGCTTTCTTATTTGTCATACATCTATTGCTTATGTGAATTGAGAGCCTGGTAATTGACTTTTGTGGACTGGCATAGAATTGTTACAGGGAGAGAATAGTAACTTGCATCATGGGATCTTGCATCTACCTCTTATGCCTTGCCTCTGCTAAATAATATCTTTTGGTTCATTAGCATGTCTTACTGACTCAGGATTTGGAAACTAAAGAGGATTGCCTTGAAGATCTGCTGGGATGATTCATGTGCAAAGATTAAATCTTGTTGAGGGACACGGCATTGTGAGCCCTGTGTCTGCCCAAATGTGTGGTGAAACATTCCCAACTGCTTTGAAAGGATCTACCTCTTATGCCTTGCCTCTGCTAAATAACATCTTTTGGTTCATTAGCATGTCTTACTGACTCAGGATTTGGAAACTAAAGAGGATTGCCTTGAAGATCTGCTGGGATGATTCATGTGCAAAGATTAAATCTTGTTGAGGGACACGGCATTGTGAGCCCTGTGTCTGCCCAAATGTGTGGTGAAACATTCCCAACTGCTTTGAAAAAGTTGCTTGCTCGGAATGGAATAAGTGTTTATACTTGTCAAACTTTTTAATACATTTACAGTATTGGCCTTTGTATTGCATTTTTATCATAGCTGTTCCAAAGAATACCCATAGGCAAGGGTAACTGAGTGCATTGCTCAGGGTCAGGTAACCCTGAAGAGAAGGGGCAGGAAGGTGAAGCCTTCTGCTTTCACCCCATGGGGGCTTTTGTGGGGCCCCACACAGATCCACGGGGCTCAGACTTCCCAAAGATTTCATATTTAATAAGCCACTTTGAAAGTTTGCCACTTGCTGAATGTCCCTACCTCATCTGTAAACAAGAATCAATTCTCCTCCCAACAACCCTTTTTCTTTCCTTGTCTAATGTTGTGGAAATCTGGTTGTTTTCTTGCTGCCCGGCCAAAACTGTCTGTTACTTCATTTATGTCTGGGCAGCCAAACGTTAAAACATAGCTGTGGTGTTTAGAAAAGACTATAATTTATGTTAGACATTTCAAAAGATAGCAACAGCTGAGACTAATCCAAGCTTCTCCATGGAAGCAAGTCATTTAGCTTTAGGGTGGTGATTATCTTTTCTATAAAATTGACATAATAACTACCTGCTTTCCATAAAATACTAGCGACAGCAAGAAGCAATAAAAACCAAAACAGCTGGGAAAGTGATAGGCAGCAGACTTGGAGCGGTTTCATGGCGTTAAACAGAAAAAGAGATTAAGAGAAGGGACTGGTGCAGGCTTATCACTGGGCTGATCTTCATGAACAGGCATCGCTGAAGACTTTGTAGAGGCAGTGGCTACCAGCAGCTCTCCTGGGCAAGTGACTAGCACCAAGGGCTCCAGACACCAACACAGGCTACTTTCTTGGCTGATTCATGATGACCTTGGCAGGGAGCACGTACCTAGACTTGCCTGAAGCACACACCTAGACTTGCAGGTACGTTTTGTAGTCCCTGCTGAGTTGCCTTCACATCAGTCACCCCGAGATGATTCCACAGGAGGGCAGCAGCCCCTGTACAGAACTGGGAGACCAGACCTGCAGCCCACCAACTTCTCCCCATCCCCACAGGAGAGATCAGCCTGCCCCAGAGCACATCCCCTCAGGCTGGGAAAGGAGCTGGGAATAAAGAGGAACCTCCAAATCCTCTGATGGAGACACATTTATTAGTTACCCCATCAGACCTTCCCAGCCATGGGAAGATGGGTTCCTGGCTGCTGCCAAATATCTGAGCTTTGGTGGTTTATCTAGAGTTGGTTTATTGCTCCAATTTTCCTGTTTTCCTGTGTTTACCTCTCTCCTCAAATATCCAACTAGGATTTGTTTGGTTTGTGGTGGGGAGCTGAGGGGACAGCATTGCTAATTGGGAATGCACAGCATTTAGTTTCTTTGGTCTGGTAGCCCCTGGTAGCCCTGGGGCTCGACAGAGTGGTTTCCCTAATAAAAACATGTAGGCTGTTGGTTTTTTAGTCCTTTGAACTACCAAACTCTACTCAATAGAGGGATAAGAAATGCCTTGGGTTTTTTTTTAATGTTTAAAAAACCAGTTTGTTTTAAAATGTGTTCACCTGGAAGGTGAACTTGCACTTCTGGAACTACTGGGCTGAGGAGTCCACAGTATTGGATTTTGTGTATGTATTTTGTGAGCCCCTCTCTTCAACTTAGGCTGATTGGAAACAGCCCTATGTTTTGATCATTGATGTGAAGGATATCATCATAGAACAAAAGAAAAGCAACTTTATAGTAAAAATCATCAGTTTACTAGAAAAAAAAATATCCTGAGAAGATATGGAGATAAACATGTGTGAAATCATGACCTTTTTTTTTCCAAATCAGTTATTACAGAGTCTTGGGGAATGTAACCCAGGTAAATATACTATTAACATTATATTAACATACCACTTTACATGTGTAATACATCGGTGCGTGGTTGTGGAGCACCCTGACTCCCTTTGTTCTGCGGAAGTCTTGGGTTATTTCTGGGTGGGTATAATTGCAGGAATGACATGGTATTTCCTAGGCACCAAAAGACCGTGACTTCAATTGGCAAACACATGTACGTAGCCATTATGGAAGAATTACATTAACATAACCTTAGTACAAAACCAGCATCTGAAATTAATTAGCATGAGCAGGACACACCTGATGTCCTAAACGGCGTCTGCCTAGAGGGATCCACTACTGGCACCAGCTGGGCAGACGTGGGTACCTGGGGTTTTGACCAGGACATCCAGAAGCAAGTAAGAAACTGGTGCTCCAGGTCCACACGTGACTCTTAACACTCACACGTGAAAAAGAGTTCTTTGCAAAAGCAGGCTGGAAAAGTGTTGATGCAGAAATATGAAGAATAGCTTGAGTCGGACTCAGTTTGGTTTGTTTATAGAAAAGAAGGCCTCCAAATAGGACCGGTTATGAGTTAGGAGACTCTAAAAATACACATTTTGCTATAATCTAGAGGTGTAAAACTAGAAAATGCAGAACCATGTTTCTCTATAAATAGGAATTCCACTCACTGGTTTTCAGACTGCAACCTGGATGGGACTGACATCCCATTTTCACACAGGGGCCTGAAGAGCAGAACCAAATCCTTCATTTTACCTGGGCATCAAGTTTTGAGGCATCTAGGAAGAGTCTCCAGGCAACCTTCTGTTCCTCTAGACAAGGCTGAATGTCACCAAGAGAGCATTGCAAATCAGTAGCAGAGGAAAAAGGAGATTCAGAAGGCCAATGGTTTGATGCAGCAGCATTTTAATGTAAATGCAAAGTGGAGTAAACATTTGCAGAAAGAATAATGCAGACTAGAAAGAGCGTATTTCTAGAGACAAGAAAAGCTAAAACCAATTACCCATTCCAGTGTGACGCATTTCATCGAGACATTCACTTTCCTCACCCTTGCTGAGCCTGACATTCAAATCCCTCTGTGTGCTGTGTTTCAAAACCACGGTCAATGTCAAACTGGGCAGAGAAAGCTAAAAGTGCAGACGTAAGATGCAAAGCCACAAGAATAAAGAAAGCATTAATCTAAGCTAAAGCACTACTAAATGTAGGGTCCTGGTTTTCAGGGGTAGCTTCCCTCTCTGGTAGCCATGCTTGTAAATCACGTGCCATGTTCTTTCACTTCTTTGTTTGTTCTTTTCCTGCAACTATTCTTTGTTTTAAGCTGATTATATCTTCTTACAGAAGCCCCTCTGGCAAGGATGCTTCCAGCGGGTGGAATAGGTGTAGGAGCGCTCCGGTATGCACGGGGGAGCGCATGGAGGAGGGCATGGAGGAGGGCACGGAGGAGGACATGGAGGAGGACACGGAGGAGGACATGGAGGAGCGCACTGGGTCTCACACTTGGTCACAAACTGTGGGGCACACCGATCGATGCAGGGCTGCACACACTCAGCACCCTTCTGCGCCGAAGTAATCGCCACACCCGACTCCAAGGTGCCGGCCAGCTCAGCTGACTCCGTGGAGCCCACGACGGTTTCCTGTGGGTAAGTGGTGAGGATGGGTCCCGGGAAGGTCACCACCACAGGAGGTGGGAAGATAATCACGCGGGAGTCTGGGCAGGCGATGACACAGGGCTCATTGCAGGCGGCAGCGCGGGGCTCAGGGCATTTTGTGTCGCACGGGACAGAGCATGGTTGAGCACACACTGTTTTCTCACAGGACATCTTTTAGCTGTGTTGTAAAACCTGCAAGATAGAGGAAGGATCAAATACGGAATCGTAGAATGGTTTGGGTTGGAAGAAAACTTAAAGATCATCTCATTCCACCCTCCTGCCCTGGCCAGGGACACCTCCCACCAGACGAGGTTGTTAAAGCCCTGTTCAACCTGACGTTGAACCCCTCCAGGGATTGGGGAGCCACAGCTTCTCTGGGCAACCTAAAGTTTATATAAAACCAAAGGAGCCAGTAGGACAGGATCAATGATTGAGTCAAGCTAAGGTGAGCCTTGAAGAGACACAGGTTGGTAGATAGGTAGATACCCATCCTGTTCTGCTTTGCTTTGCTCTTCTCCTCTGTAGGCTTTCAGAGACCAAATCCTTCCTGCAGACACCAAACAACCTCTTTGAGGCTGCTCCTTAAATAACAACTGCTCTCTTCTATGTAATTTGGACTCCAGAGGTGGAGTTCAGTAAAATTAGGTTTATACAGCACCAAGCATTGCAGAAATGGAAAACACGAAAGGTTTTACTGTACAAAATTTACGTATTCTCTGGGCTAAGCAGACAAAAGGCAGAAAGAGGTGCATAATCCTTAAATTGTGCCTAACAGAGCCTATTCCATAAGGATAACAAGTATTAAGTTTTTAGTGCAATTAGTTTATAAAACGCAGCTTTAATACAGCATATTTAGTATCAAACTCACTTTAAAAAAATTAAACAAATAATAGCCTTTTGCAAGACCACAAGGAAAAAGCTGAAGCAGAGCAAAAACCCGAAAGCAAGTCCCAGGAATTTAGATTTCAGAGAGAGTAAAACTGTTCACAAACCTGGACTGACTTCTACACTTTCTTACTTTCTTTCTTTTAAAATAAAGGGTGGGGAGGTAATTAGGAAAATGTCACAAAAGTACATTTCAGGACGTCATTTCAAACTTATCCAAGCTCCAAATCAAAGCACCAAATGAAGGAGTTAGGTAATCTGTTTTTTCAGATTAAATGGAATATTTAGGTTTCAACCAAGGCGATTACTTATTTTTTTTCTGAGTTGCACATTAGAAAAGCCTGGGTGGGGCTCAATTTGACTCAAGCAATTTTTCTCGGATTTTTTTTTTCTCTTTTTGTTGTTTTAGACACAATGCCAAAATACCCATTATTCACCTAAACTTCTCCTGACCTTAAACCCTAATCCAGACTCTGTCTTTAGGTTCCCACCCTTACATTCTGCTTCATGTACTAATTCTGCCTTCCTGATTTGACCTGCACATCCCTCAGCAGAAAGCAAAACCAGAGAAAACGGAGAGCTGAAAACTAGACGTGCACACATAAGATATAGTACAAAGTATTTCTAGTGGATAATATATTCTTACACAACCTGTTGAATGTTTTGCATAAGACCACTGCTTTGCATGAACAGAAGAAAAACACCCAAAGCACCTTCCCAAGGAATATACACCTTAAGTAGACACTTTCTGGGTTCCCATTTCCTCCGCGCAGATGTCCCGACAGACAATTTAGCAAAGTCCTGACCGTTCAGACCGACAGCGAGTGCCCAAGAAGGTCCCAGGTGGCATTTCCAAAGTCAACCCAGGAACCCAGGGCCACATCCACAGACACGCTATGTCCTGACAGCAGCTCCAGTCCGAAAGGTGACTGCAGCCATCTCGCCATCTCGGTATATAGCCTACCTCAATATTTACACATGATACCTCTGTCTGAAATTAAATAAAAATTGGAAGCCACAAGGTTGAAAACAACACTGCCAGATTTATACTGCTGGTTAAGAAATTTCAAGGCTACCCAAAGGCTATATGCATTAAATTTCCATAAAGTAATGGAAGTAGGTGTATTTAACTTTATCTAGATTTCAGATGTATTTTTAAACCTCGATCCATCAGTGCCTCTGGATTAATAATCAGCAAATGACTCTTTCATGAAAGTAAACTCCTGAATATTGCACAGAATCGCAGAATATTAATCCAAAATTCAGCCCTGAAGTAAATGCAAACATTAAAAAAATGATACTTCTGTGGTTTTTTTAGGAAGAATTTATATTAGAATCCAACTTACTCAGTCCACCGGGGAGAAGTCAAGAGAACCTGCTGGAAGGTTTCTGAATCATGAATGGTTTTATATACCTCCCTGGACCACCAGGCTGATGCAAGAAAATAACGTCATATTTGTGCATTAGGTTCCATTACTCCCCAAACAAAATTTGACATGTAATTACAGTAATTGTTTTGCTTACTGTTTGTGTTGATTACCCTATTCTCGCCGGCACGTGACTTGCGTAGTCCCATCCCAGGATTCCTTTCATTTCCCGACTTTAAGCCTCAAACCTGGTCCCACTGGCCTGGAGGGGGCAGGAGGTCTGTGGGACGGCTGTGGGGCTCGCGTGGGAGCCCTGGCACTGAGCAGAAGCTCCACGGGACTCAGCCATGCAGTTCCTTAGAAAACAGGAGTTTGTTTTCCTTGCTTAACATCATGACCTCCAAGAATGCATAAGAGCCTAACCTAGCATTAGTAGTAAGTGTGCTTGCTAGTTTAAAGCCTGTTAGGACGTGTTTACAGAAAATGTAGTCACTGCATGACTGGAGTGTCAGGATTGTCTTGGAGAGACACTCCTAGCAGAGCCCGGCATTGCCTGTGGTGGCTCGGCTCCTCATTTGATGTTCAAGCCTCTTCCAAAGCAAGAACATAACTCAGTGCAAGGACTTGACCTGGCAGCCATAGCCCTCGTTGAGCATGAAAGGTCTCCTCCTCAGCCAAACGATTCCTGGCCAAGCCCAGGAAGAAACACAAAGGGGAGAAAACTCATTTTGGTTAGAGGGAGCTGAGAATTGCTCGGTCTGGTTTGGAATAAATCACTCTCTACACCCTGTCCCTTTCATGGTGGTTTTGGTCACAGCTGCATGCGGAAAATGCTTACGAGTGTGGCGAAGAGCGCTGAGGGAAACTCAGGGTAAGTGAGCAATGTGGTGGCAAAGCTGGTCATTGTCCATTCAACACACAGTTAGGACAGAGAAAAGAGGAGCAACCGATCTATTTAAGGTCACTCAGGAGGGCTTCAGTGGTAGACGGGACCAAGAGTTACAGCACTGATTTGTGCCCAACTTGACCCACTGTGATGAAGCAGCAACTCATGCCGTGTTTGAAGCCCAGCCCCAGCCCCTTCAGGTGATATAATACTATTTAAATCAGCAAATATGCCCTGATTTAGAAAGGTGAATATTTGGCCAACTTGCTTTAAATAGTATGATTAGGATAACAAATGCAGAGCTGGCTTTTAATCAAAAAAACTAAAGGGATCCAAATTCCCAAGGTGTTTATCATTGTCTGATTCAGAGAATCACATGGGTGGCCCTGACATATATATTTTAAAGTGACGCTATGATTCAATACTGTGGAGTTTAATACTGGCAGCCTGTTATTAACACCATAACACCACAATAATTTGCATGTATAAAACATTAGTGGGTGTTTGCAAAACTATCTGAAAGCATTTCCTCAGAACACTTCCAATAAGTGCTTTTGCCTAGAGGGTCCTGCAAAATCACTCTGCTTCCAAGAGTTAATTGATAGCATAGAAGTTGCAACATTAGTAAGCAAAAAATAAATAAGTACAGAAATGAGGGAGGAGGAAAGAATCCAGAACCTGTTCAGTGCTTGGGGTTGATCATGGTCCCTCGATCATGGTCTTGAGATCATGGTCCCAAGATCATGGTGACAACCAGAACTGCTACCTAGCCAGAGCTACACCCCTAACTTTTGCCCCCTCTTCTGGAGCGATGCAGGGGAGATGAGAAGTGCTGTCAAGTGAGGATTTGAATAATGTATGTCAGGTGTTGTTCTTACAGGCACAGCCCAACACATCAACATCTGGTGGCTTTGGAAAAGCATGGAGTGGCTAGCAATTCCTCTCCAGCTCCTTTCAGTGGCGCTAACACTGCCAGGCAATTCTTGCCATGACTCCTCCTGCTAACTCTTAACTCACATGGCGGCATCCTCCCGTAGCTTTTGCCCTGTATTTGGCCATCCAAGAGGCATTTCCAGTTTCAGACGTTCATCCTTTGCCGTGTGTGACTCAGAAGCCCCACGGCAGGAGAAGGGCTGGAAGAGGAGCTGCTCTCGCCCTCCTGGCATGAGCTCACTTACCCAGAGCAGCTCCAGAGGGAGCTTCTGAGAGAGCCCGACGTTCAAGTACATATATGCATTTATTCTCTTGCATATATTTATTTATTTACATGTATAAAAGCAGTGATAAGGAAGCAATTGTACAGTCACTGTTGGTAAAGGATTTCAAACTTCAAATGCTGAAGTAACAAAATGCCTGTTGTGAACAGGTGAATTAGATGAATATGAATTGCTTGAGAAGGTGAACATTCTTCGAATCTGGTGCTGAGCAACGCTAAGGGCTTCAAAAATATTTGAGAAAAAAAACATAATTATAAGAAATCATTGTGGAAGACAACTGGTGAGGTTGCCCAACTGATACGCTCCCCTGAATTATTCTTGGAAAGGATTTGCCTAAGCTGTTCATAAAAGTGCTCTGGTGCTGGGATCCCATGGTCCCACTTGCAAATCTGTCAGTGCCCGGCTGCTCCTGCAACTGGAAAGTGGGATGGTTTTGTTCCCTACAACCAACCTGTCATCTTTGTTGCAATGTAAGATGACAACTTTATATCCTGTTTTCCTACTGGATAAAGGGGATTTTATTGCCTTTCTCCTTGAAGTAATGCTTTATAATTTTATATTCCTTCTTACAAGCCTCTCTAAAATAAAGCAATCAAATGTGATGGATAATTTCTGTGAAATTACACCAAGAAGAGGCTTAAACAAAAGTAAGTAACTGCAAGGTGGGGAGATTTCTCTAATTAGGAAACACTGTAATTAGAGAAGGCCTAATGTGCAAGTATTTAATTGTAACTATAATTAACTGTTGAAATAATTTTGGAGAGATGAGTGACTCTTACTGTCTTTAAATGAAAAGTGCGTGTTCAGTCAAAAGGTGTAAGAGAGTTTAAAGAGAAATTACGGAATAGAGACAAAGTACTGGGTAATATTTTCTGGTTTATATTGTCCACAAGGTCCCCCTGGCCAAAAAATCCAGAGGCATGAGAATACAAACTATCTGTTATGAATTAAGGTACATTGTGGCACCAGAACCCGGTCCCCAAACCTGTCACATCCATGTTTTCTTTTCAATTAATAGAATGGAGAATGGAACAAATAGCAGAGAAAGATACCCTATGTGCGCACACACCAGGAGAAAAAAAGGTATAGCAAGAGTTCTTATCTCCGGAGGCATGAGAATACAAATTGTTATGAATTAAGGTACATTGTGGCACCAGAACCCGGTCCCCAAACCTGTCACATCCATGTTTTCTTTTCAATTAATAGAATGGAGAATGGAACAAATAGCAGAGAAAGATACCCTATGTGCGCACACACCAGGAGAAAAAAAGGTATAGCAAGAGTTCTTATTAAATTATAAAAAAAATATATATACTGAAGGGTAGACGATTATGTAATAAACTGTGCTGTTATCTCTATACTGACAATAAAATTGTGCCCGTGCGCACACGCCAGGAGAAAAAAAGAGTTCTTATTAAATTATAAAAAAAAAATATATACTGAAGGGTAGACAATTATGTAATAAACCGTGCAGTTATCTCTATACTGACAATAAAATTGTGCCTACAGTTCGTACAAACACAGTAGACTCAGCTCGAAGTGAGCCAGTGTGGCTGCTTTGGACATTGATGGATTTTCCTCCCATGATCTAAAAATCTGGGTAGAGGATTTACCTTCCCACTGCTGGTGCTCTCACTAAGCAGGTGAGGACTTCACTAAGTCCTCTGAGAAGTGAGGACTCATCGCTTTTGCCTTGTTTTTCTCTCCACTGCCTTTCCAGACCTTCAGAGACATAGAAGAGACAGAAGCAAATCAGATTTATTATTTTTCTGTCTCTGGTTTTGTCTTTTCTCTTATTCACATTTCGGTCTTACACGGACACATCCATGTGCATGATGTTACTCAGCAGAGTTGTCCAACCAGATTCATCTGGGCTAGTCATATTGTTATGGGAAAGTATTTAATAACAATTAAGAGGAGCAGGGAGCACCACATCAAGAGAGAGCTGAAGGGCATGTGTGCACCCAAATCTAAATATTCAGTGTTCCTTTAAGAAAAATCAAAAAAAACAGAGCCCTTCAAGTGCAAGAATTGTTATGCTACAATGAACTAAAGCTGATATTGTGGGTTCCTGTTTTTAAGTGGAGCATGTCTGCCACAAGTTCATATTCCTAGGAAGATGTCAACTGATTTACCCATTTGATTCTACGCAAGGTGAAGTAACAAATACTAAAGGATGTGGTGCTAAATGTATTTTCGCCCTGTCAAATACAATTCTATAGTGGCCAGATTCTCCTCCAGGACAGGCAGAGGTTTCTCAGGGCTATTGCTGAATTACCCAAAACATGACTTGAAAATACAAGTTACAAGGTTAAAAAAAAGTAAATAGAGTTGAGTTTGAATGCAACGTAGTTTTAATGAGGGAAGCACAGGGTACATTTGGTGAACAGGGGTGTGCAGAGCACCAAGGATGTTTCCCAGGGCTTTGGGAAGTGATGCTGCTACAGGTGGGCCAGCAAAGTCCATCGCTTGAACATCACCAGGTGGCAGCTTCCCCTGCGAGGTCAGCACAGCCCAGGGCTGCTTCAGCACCAGACAGGGTCGCTTCAGAAGTTTCCGGAGCCAAGACTCATGTAAACAGCAGAGACCCCACCTTTCAGACAGTCCCCCCCACCAAAGAACTGGCCTCTCTCAAAGGAGACCCCGCCCTAGTATCTGCCTCCGCTGCAGGAGCCCCCAAAGCCACTGCCAGAGGAGATGCCTCCTCCGTATGAGCCCCCAAAGCCCCCACCATAGGAGCTCCTGGAGCCAAATGATCTTCTGCCTCTGTACGAGCTTCCAAATGACCTGCTTCCCCCGCACAAGCCCCCAGAGCCAAAGGAACTACCCCCTCCGTACAAGCCCCCCATGCCCATGGAGCTGCCCCCACCATATGAGCCACCCATGCCCATGGAACTGCCACCTCCATATGAGCCACCCATGCTCATGGAACCACGTCTACCATATGAGC